TATTACGTTATATTGTAACAGCCATCCCGGTTGATGGCTTTTACCTGCGCCGAGCAGAGTTCCCCTCCCTATGGATGATACAAGAGTTATATTTACATAGAGCAAGTAACAATTATTTGCTCAGATAATTTATATAGAAATATAGGTAAATAAATACAAAATATTCTACTATAAAAGTCCAATACTAAGTAGGTATTCCTACTCTTCAGTCTCGCCCACCTTCACTCTTAATACCTCTTTTGCTTTGGAGTTGCTTGCCTTCACTGCACATCATAGGATGGAGGGTGAGATTTCAAAGAATCCCCGTAGTAGTAATTTCCATAAAACGAGTGTACAAATTATATAAAGCATGCAAAACAAGCCAAAGTGAAACATAACCTTACAAGCTAATCCAATTAAGCATTTATACGTAATGACAGATAGACAAGCAGAATAAATAATGTGCAAATAATTGGCAAATATTGCCTCATGTCTATCAGCTACATATGGCCATGGCTAAACGATGCAAGGAATTAATGATTACATGTTCTCATACTTTAAAATAGTAATATGACACAAACAGATATGTAGCAATCATATAACAATTGTAAGGTAAGAAGAACTACTACATGGTACACTTTCTTCCAACACAAACCTTAATATCCTCTTATTATGGTGTCCTTGGTGAGCTCGGGCAAATGTCAAAACTTAACATTTATATATTCACATAAGTGTAGGTTAATACTTATTCCATTTATAACTTAAATAACTTCTCTAAAATAATAACTTATTCAAACTTTACCCTTATGAAAGTGATTGGTCATCATGGACAAAATTATATATATAAACATCTGTTTGAGCTAAGCAATCTTTGTCCAACTCCCAACTTAGTGCATTAGCTCAAACTTATTTCACAACTTTTCAATACATAACTCAAGCATCTGAAATTACCATTGATCTTTTAGTGGAAATAACGAACTCTAACTTATTGTTCTATTCCATTCAAGTTCTAGGTTCTTTTTCAAGACTTTGAACATTAAATCTTCTTTCTTCTATCCATAACAACCCAATGGTTTAGCACCATTTGACATTAAATTCTCCTTTACTTTAAAACTTCACAACAGAACATAAGTCGCCTGACTTCTCCAACTTTCATGTTTCCCAATTCCAGACAATAATCAAATTTACTCTTTAAACTTAACCATTTAATTTTCGCATCAATTAAATGTTTTTCCCCGTTTCTATTCATTAAACAACTTAATCAATGTCAATAACAACATTCTAGTTCAAGTGCATTCTTCTTTATTCACATCATCGACACTGCATTCATTAAGTGCCTATTAACTTGCTTATATCATTATTTCTTAATAAAGCACCTAAACAACGCAACAATTAACTCATTTGAATAGTCCTCTTTCAAAGTTTTGGACAAGTTCAATCTTAAATCTGAAGTTTCCAAACTTGAAATATACTCCCAAGATTTGAATTTGATGAGCCTACAGCTTCATACATTAACAAAACTCCATGTCATACAACTTCATTATGCTTTAGTCCAATTAAATTCTCCTAACATTCTAATAGCCCCTCTGCTAAAAATGCTGAAATTTTCCAGCTTTAAAGATATTCTCTCAAGTACAACAATTTATTCATGCCTTTTATTTAATTTAAAAATACTTCCTCATACCAAGTTTTTGGACAACATCTCTTCTCTGAATACCCTTCAATCCCAAAGACAAAATTTGGACCTTCATTTTCAAATCTCTAAACTTGGTTTAGATAGCTTGACCGATCATTTAACTTAAGGGAGTATTAGCAGCAACTTTTAGGAAGGTTTTGCTGCTTCAAAATCATCATTTTCAGACAATACAACAATTACATTTATGTCTATATAATTAATATTTTTACACATGTCATTCGAACCACATAACTTTCATTTTAAATTCAGCAACTCCATTTTCCTTTAACAACATCATATTATAACATCATGCTGCCGTTTTCAAACCCAAGAATTAATGTTCATTTGAATGCAGAACATAACACCAAAACAGAAAGCCTTAAAATCGAATCATCATGCCTCTCACAGACTCACCCACATTTCAGAACATACATCAATGTAGCTCTTCTATTTTAGCACTTTAAATGCTTCTTGACGTGCAGAAACCGAACAGCACCCCCTGATAGCAAATCTGGAATTTTTCTGGATTCAAAGCAGACTCTCAACTCCTATAATAACCAGATTCATGAGCAAAGTCACAACCACACCCCCCAATCTAACCTTTAAACACAGTTTCCACAGCTTGATCCTCAAATTCTACACTTTCTCTTTCTAAAACAAACTTTATATATTATCAACAACAGCCCAAATGATCACCGATCAAGGAAAATGGAGATGGGAGTATGTCCAGAAGACTCACCTTAACTTGTTAATCGGTTTGCATGCAAGAAATTTCTCCGCCGGTCATTCTTCTTCCTCCTCAAGCTTGCTCGATCTCTCTCTCACTCTCTTTCTGTTTCTCTTCGACTTGCAGATGGAAATGAGAAGGTAAAGAAATATTATGAATGCTATTAAGTGGGGGGTCATGTGGGGTTGATGTGAGGGAAGGAGAAATAACCACTTTGCCTTTTTGTCCTTTCTTATCTCCAATTCCATCCCTTTTCCTATTTTTTGGAACATAAATTGAATCTAGAATAAATCCTTGATGTTTTATATAAATTTTCTTTCTCCACCAGTTTCTTTGGCCAATAAAATACCTCCTCTAAAAATTGAGTCAAAAATTAATTCCAAACTATTTTCTTGAATTTTTTCAAGAAAATAAGTTTTAATTTCATAAATTCATTTTTAATTTATTTTAAGGATTTTATGTCTTGATTAGCTTCTTTACCTAGTAAAATAATTATTATAAATTTTTCAGCTCAAATATAAACCTTTAACTATTTTTCTTTGGATTTCTAGGGAAAAAAAAGCGTCCTAATCCCTCGAAATTAGCTTTAAAATCATTTTGGGAAATTAAACCTCTTCATAAATTTTCTAAATGCTCAAAATAATATTGTATAATGCGTCTCCAAATTTTTTTAGGTATTAAATGATTTTACTACTTGCTTTTCTCTTTAATTTCTGTAAAATTTCACCAAAAACTAGGCTTTTTGTCCATTAAAATAATTTTGAGGTTCTAAGTCTTAAAATAATTTCTTTGAACCTCATGATTCCTTAATAGCCTATTTTTTTAGAGCTTTATAATTTGAGATGTTACAGAATGGATAAAAAGTCCCAAATAATCCATACCAACAACAAAATAATGGATCCATTTTTAAAAGAAAGTGAATAGAATAAAATTATAAATATACTGGAAGAAACATTTGGTGCTAATTTGCACTAAGGAACAAATGATCCATGTTATATAGAAGGGTATATATATACTTTTGTGAAAAACATATTGAAATAAGGATGAAGCATGAAGGGGGGCAAACTTACCTATTGTAACATTGAAAATGAGCACTAAGCATGATAATAAAATCTGGGAGGCAAAAAATGCATATGAACTTTTGAAAACCATGCCAAAATGCCCATGCTGTTAAGTGCTTTAATGTTGACTGTTTAGATATCACATTTTGACTAAAAAAATGCTGATACAGGTGCTTATGTGGTATAACAATATCCTAACTGGAAAATCTAAAAATTATGCAAATTTTTCCAAGCCACCATCATCCACTCTTCTCCTCATGACCGACCCTTTCCAGTTCCCACCACTATCCTACTGGAACAGCAAACCAAAATGACGAACAGAACTAGTAGTGTCAGATGAGCTAAAAAGGCAAAGTAAGAAGACGAGAGGCACTGAAAGGCAAAGATTGCACTGAAGCACAAAACCAAGCGGAAAAGTGAAGAATCAAATAGAAATTAGGGATTTTGCACGTACTGGATTTTTTAGGAAACCCATCTTCATTGACCTTATCCACAATTCATTGTATTTTAAGGTGAAACAGGGAACAAACACGAATTTAGAAAGATGAGATCCAAAAGAACACGAGATAAGGAACAAGCACTTAGCGGCAGTGGACCCATGAGTCCATGACAGAGCAAGAAACCAAAAAAAAGAAAACCACTAAATCATTTATTCGTTGAAACTACTTTGAGTATTTCAATAATTCGTCACCCAAAATCAGTCTCAAAGTGAAAGCATGATCCGCAACTACAAGAATCGCATATTATAACAAAGCTAAATCTATAGAAATTAAAAACCAAAAATCAAAAAAATAAAAACTAAAAATACATTTACAGTAAGCAATGATATGCAAAGCTTCAGATTTCCAAGCATGATAGCAATGGCGAATGCAAGGCTTCAACTGTTCGAGCAACGATGATAGCGAATTAGGGTGAGCGAGCAATGATGAGCTTTCGACTTTCGTTTGCAGAGAATAGCGAGGTTCAGATTTTTGTTTGCCAGAGACAGAGAGCAACGAGATCGCAACATTAAAGTGACGTCTGAGGCATCGGTGCAAGCTTTTGGTTAGGAGGAAGAAGGACAAATAAAATGGTAAAATATATTTAAGGGCGAAACGGTGAAGTCTGAGCCGCCATCGACAAGTTACTGGTGGGAGGACTCATCTGAGAGGCTTTGCTCATTCTAGATTATCGTCTTCGTTGAAGAGCCAAAGGAGGGGACTGGAGAAGTAAGTTTTCAACGGAGATGTGGAGAGACTGAGAGGGGGAAAAAAGGGAGAGAGAGGGGAGATGATGTTTTCTAAGGGTAAAAATTAAAAATAATTTAAAATGAGTTAATTATGGAAAAGAAAGAGAATATAGCAACTAAGATTAATATGAATGTGAAGTGGCGTGTTTCTATTAGGTAGAGAAAAATTACATGGACACTAGGTGGGGCCCACAAAAAAAAAGTAACGCTCACATTCATGATAGTACTTTTGCCCCGCTTGATGCTCCTTTTCAATATTGTAATAGGTAAATTTTGCCCCTTCACCCTTGAAATAAAGTAACTAAGAAATACAATAATTAAGAAAACAGATCACTGCCCTTCAATCTTGATGTTACTTAATGGAACAAGGCTTTCCGCATAATCCAAAAGCCGATTAGTAAAGTCACATTTTGTTGGGAAAGCAAACATGTTGAATTCATTAGTAGTGAGATTACACAAAAGAACTTTTGCTTCATCATTCTTCATTTCACTTCCAAATGGCATTTCATGCATCGCATGGACACTACAAACGATTTCATTTCTCCAAATAATCATTGGACTTAAACTCCAGCATGGACAGGATCTGCTTGTATATATTTTGGTCCAAATCCATCCCTCCCTGGGCTCATTTGTACACTCCTCGATCAACCACAACTCAATGAATAAAGACGATTCATTATTTCTAATAGCAGAAACCAGAGCAAGTTTGTTATCATACATCGTAAGCCTAAAGGGAGATAATTCAAAGGCAAGCGACTCAGTAGGAAAGGGTATCAATGTGAAGACTTCAATTGCTATATCAAATGAAACTATCACATCAATTCTATCGTATTCCTTTAATCCATACCAAAAGATTGATCCGTTACAAGGGAAACCGTGATCACTCTTAATAGTTGTAACCTCTAAATTGCCAAGTTTAACTTTCCTCCAAAACCCTGTCCTTAGTGCATATACTTCCACTTCAACAACCATACGATCAAGCAAAGAAAGTTTCACAATCTTGTAATCATTAACAACTGGGCTGAACCCAAATCCGACAGAAGAATCATCACTCTTCTCAGAATCATTAATAAAGTGAGGCACTTGTCGGACCTCTCTAATAGCCGGATTCCACAACATAAAGGAATTATAAGGTCCATTAGTTATGATGAGATCGAGACAAAGCAAGCCATTACTGGAATGGATAGTCCTCCATAATGGCCCGAAGGTATCAGCGATAGGAGGGTTTCGAAATTCAAGAAATTGCATCTCGCGATTCAGTATGCTTAAATGCCAAGTATCAGCTATACATTTACTGATATAGCAATCGGTAACAAGTAAAGAGTTTTGCTGAGTGGAATGGTGGCGGTGTTCTGCAATGAAACATGGGGTTTTGAACAGATTCTTCCAATCTTGGCACACACATTGAAATCGGATTAGGGATTTTACGGGAAGTCGTACGAGAATATTTCTGACAATTTCTTGAGGAAGATATGGTGTCTCGTTCCTCATTGCTATTTTCTTCTTGGTGGTTGACTGGTATAAAGGAATCAGGAAATTAAAGGCTTGCCCTTAAAACATTCGAAACTAAAATTATATATATGCTTTTTTTGTGCAATTTTTTATTATATCCGATTTGATTTTATATCTAATTTTCACGATTTTTCCGACTATTATGGTTTTTTCCCTCTTTTTATGATTTATTTTATCGTACCTGATTCGTTATCTAATTTTCATGATTTTTCTTGCATGTTATAAATTATTTTAAAAATATTGTTGCTATTAAGTTAAAATAAAAGGGGTTAATATGTATGTTTCTTTGATATTTTGAAAAAAAAAATATAGAGATATAATCAGATATGAGGAGAAATCAGCTCCGATTTAAGTATTAAAAAGATTCATCTCAAATCTCAAATTCAAATAAAAACAATTCATCCCTAATTATTGGGATAGGATATCATTATTTCAACGAAGAATATATTTTTTTTTGTAAATTTGAGTGTATAAAATTATAGTGGAAAAATTATTTTGTATCAAATTTTCTATTAAAATCTAATCTAATTTCATATATCTGGCACGGATTTTTTCCTAAATTCACTTTAGACTAGACTAAAAATTTCTTATTTAGTATATTTCTGGATTAGTTCGTAACAACTAACAAACAATTTCAGCCAAACAAATCTCTTTCGGTCTATTTTCTAACCAATTAACTGAATTGATGTATAGAATAATATAAGTAGAAGGGGGCATTAGATGGGAGAAGAATATCTTTACTAACTTCTCTCTCCACTTTCTCTCCACTTAATTTTTCTATCATTAGATTACTTTTAATGGTGAAATTTAAAATTGAGTAAAAATATTATTATAATATTAAATATAATAAAAATTTATCATATTAAACTACTTATGTCAAATTTTAACACTTAACAATATAAATTTATTTATATATTTTTTATTATTTAATATTTAATATTTTAATAATATCCTTATAAAATAAATCTTAACCATTGAAGTTTGATCTAATGATGAAAACATTAAGTGGAAAGAGGGATTAGTGGAGACATTTCCCTCCCGCATTAGATAAGCTAGAGTGCCACATTATTTGTAGTCTGACCATTCACAAGCCACCAACTTAGGAATATTTTAATCTGATCTGGCATCTTCTAAATATTAGCTGGTAGATAAAAAGTTTAAAAAAAAATTTCAACTTCTAAAATAAAAAAAAGGTGAAAAACAGAACAAACTTGAAGAAGCAATGCACGGCCGAATCCCCTCCTCTGCAGCCTCTTCCCGACGACTTCTGTCTGGTCCGCGACTAGAGGCGTGGCATGCCTCCGAAATTTTGAGATGGTAAAAGCTAGTTCTTTTCTTATTTAAACCATTTAATGATGCAATTCTCTGATTTCTTGTTCTAGAATTATTATTATTGTTTTAAAAATTCCATTGATAATAACTTAAAATAAAAAAATATAAAATAAGAAAATTAAGACTTATGTTTCTGAAAGCAAAAATCACTGTTGATTTAGGTGTTGGAAAAAATGGTAACAGAAAAAAATATTTAATCTCAAATTTAAATATAAAAATCATTACATTAAAAGGTAATTAGTCCCCTATTAATGGGATATGATATAATTATTTGAAGGAGGAATATGTTCTATTTTTTAAATTAGAGTATATAAAAATTATAGTTAAAAAAATTATCGTATATTAATTTTTCCATTTAATTCTATTTTCAAATTTGGTATGCAAATCTATTGTATAACTGTTTGAAAATTAAAGGAGCAAGGGAGACTGTGAGAGTCATTTCCCGGAATTGGATTTGGGTAACTGGGAAAAAAAAGAAAAGAAGAAGAGGTAACTGAAAAGCTCAATGATTATGGGATGAGTTATGAATGATAGAACTTAGAAGGAGCCTTTGGGAAGGGATATTTTGAAAATGCACAATATTCCTATATCTTATCATTATATAATATATATACACGTATATCCACACACACAAACTCTATTTGTTAGTAGATTTATCATTATCTTCCTATCATCTCAGTTAATGAGATAATATGTATAACATGAATATTTATAATGAATTGAATTATAATTTAATCCATAAATACTATTTGAATCCCACTTAATGTTAGCATTTTCATTTTGATTATTCGGATAATACAAATTAAATCTCTTATTTAATGTGTATTATATTTAATTAGATAAATAACTATATCAAATATCCTAATGCAGATCCGAAATCCAATAGCAACAAAAAATTTCAGGTCGAAAAAGATCTCTCTATCTGTTCTCTAGTCAATCAACTGAATTGACATATTGAGGTCCAGAAGGTTAATGAATATAGAAGACCTCTCTTGATAATTGGTTTGTATTGGCTCGTATGTGGAATGCAAAAAAACGATGTCGTTGCAACGATCCGAATCCTAATTCTGCATTTTTGTAATGCAAAACTGCAAATAGAGATGTACATGAATTTTGTCTAATACAGAAGAAGTTCCCACAACACCTTAAAGGAAATTAAACAACTCTTTCCAAGGATTTTCATGATGAATCCTTTTAAGTATGTTAACGCTCAACTCGAGCTGAGATTTCATCCAAAATTGACGAGTGATGATGTCATTGAAGCGATGGGTGATTAACAAATATTTATCATAATTAATTACTAAAGAAATGGTAAATTTTTATAATCAATATAATGGAAAAATAAACGGAATTAAACTTGAATTTTCCCAAATATGCCCAAGGTATTGCAATCAAAGTTGCATTTATGGAAATGTGGAGCAAGATTTACACTAAAAAAAATTACTTTCAATGATAGTTTTCAATGATGACAAAAAAAGCTGTCACGAAAAATCTAACTTTTATGGTGACTTTAAAAGTTACTACTAAAAGTTTTGAAAAAAAATACTTTTGGTCTAAAGTCACTGCTAAAGGTAAATACTTTTAGTGGTGATGGAAAAATGTTGTTGCTAAAACCCATACTTTCAGCTGTGATTTTTTCCCATTACTGCTAAAGCCTCATGTTTTTAGCAGCAACTTCTCATGTTGCTGTTAAAGGCTATACTTTTAGTGGCATTTTTTCATCTCTCTTAAAGTTGCCATTAAAGGCTATACTTTTAGTGGTATTTTTTTCATCTCTCTTAAATTTTTGTCGTCACTTGTTCTGGTCATTGCTGAAACCTCGTGCTTTTAGTGACAACTTTTCTTGTTGACAGTAAAGATTATACTTTCAAGAGCATCTTTTCTAAGTTACGACAAGATGGTGGGTGACATGGCAGCTAGGGTCAGTCAACAATGATGTGGCATTGGCATATAATAAAATAATTTAATATATTTTGTTGGTTGTCCTTTTTTGGCAGCGACATTATAAGTCGCCCACTGAAAGTATAGGAGCAGTGATGACTTAATTTTTAATTGCAACTAACTATACTTTCAGTGGTGACCATAATTGTTGCCAAAATTATACTTTTAGTGGTGACCCATTTTGTCACCACTAATAAGTATCGGTAATAGTTGCTACGGCAACGACTTGATGGCGAATTTTTGTTGCTACCGAAGGCTTTTGACCCATTATTATCAGAGCTATCCGTTGGAGTAGAGACTCGAATGGTAGAAAAGAAACTCACAACACCGTGGGGTCTCACCTTTATTATTACCTATGTTTTTGACCCATTATAAGCCCATCAATCCCTCAACCAACCTCTATTGTTGGCATGTAATATTCAAGAATCAAAGAGTATGTTAGGACAGCTTAATATTTTGAAAACTAATAATAAATCAGTGTATTTAATGTGAAATCTTAATTAAGATAAATTCTAATATATTAACCAAAATATTAAAAGAACGGTATTCATAAGGAAACATCTCAAGGTTCACCATGGCCAAGTGATGTCAATCAAAACAATGACCAAAGGGGAAGGGGAAGAAACCAGAAGGGCTAAAAAACAGTGACTTACTAATCATTATTATTAATTTAACCAAAACGCTTTGTATTTAAAATCATTGATATATTACCAGGAAAAAATATTAAATAGTCCAACACGTCCAAATTTGAAAGAAGACTCACTTTTATTTTTCTTTAAAAAAAATCAAAACCCAAAAAATGGAACACAAGTTATCCTTGTTAGGTACGATATTCTAGATTATTTTTTGGCCACAGGCGTAATTTCTTGGATTAGTTTCAATAAAAATTTGGAGGGAAAATTTTATCGTGATTGTGATCGACTTGGTGTAAATAAATCAATATAACAATCTAACACCAATAAATTAATAAATAAATTGAACGGAATTTATTAGTCGAATTATTGAATTATTGATTGACTGATTGGCTTATATAATTAATGAATTAGAAATCGATCGAATTGAATTATTAAAAGCTAAGGAGGCTATTAGTACGTGGTATGCATTATATTTGTTATTTCCAATTTTTCAGCTTTAGATCATTTGAGTTCATGGAAATGATATAGCCTTTGTAATGGACTTGTTATCACAACTATCCTCAAAGAATGCTCACAGCCGATATAATAAGTAAGAAGTACAAATTTCTCATACGTAAATCAAAATGTAATTATAAAATACATCTTCTTAATAGGTACAATGCTTCTCCATTACAAATTTCTCAAGTGGAAACAAGGATAAATAAGTGCATTGGAATTGATATAACAACTGAATAAGAAGGGAAGGTGAAGATTAATTAAATTAACCAAAAGGCGAAAATTAAACTAGTATAGCAAAAAATAGGGCTTATATGAGTAAAAGTTTTCTAAACACTGTTATTAAAGAAACACAGTCAACGGCAAGCTGTTTTAGCGACAATGCCACCCATCATGCTTGAAATAGGTTCTAAGCTCTAACTTGGCATTGACATGTTTAAGTGTGTAGGTGCGTTTAATGGTATAAAATAAAATAAAAATCCAAAACACGCACCCTCTAGCAAAACAATGTATTTAAAGCCAGTGGTATATTAATTAGTATAGGACAAAGGTCCTAACAATCCACACAAAAAAGTT